TCAAATTGCAGCCTAAATAAGGGAAAAAAAAGGCATGTGAGTAGTGCCTGACTTCATCTTGACTCTGTCTCCCGTCTTAAAGATGTATGTAAATATATTTATATAAATATATTTAATATGTATAGTTTATCTGCATGCATTTTATTTATACATATATATATATATATAAGTGTTTTTAAAGCAGAAGGCAAGTATATAGGGATTTTTTTAGTCTTATATGGCAAAACCTTTTCTAAATTGGAGTTGATTTGAATTAAAATGTCATGCCTGAGGAGCTCCAGGAAACAATCTTACAATGAAGTTTATTCCCTCTGTGTAGCAGTGTCCTGAAGGAAGTATGCAGAAAAGTGCTAAAAAAAAGGCTTATGAGATGGCACAAAGTCTGTGTCAGAGACAGACAGGAGGAGGAGTGGGCAGATGGCAGTCAGTACAAAACACGTGAATAATCAGATTGAGAACAAGCTGAATAGACTGTCAGTATGCTGGTTGCATGCTGCTGCATTTTGGGTTTTGTGAATGTGCTGGGGATTTTTTCTGTTCTGATCAGTGTTCCATACTCCAGAGAGGTAAAAATCTTCAAGCTAGAGGCATATGTGAGGGTAAAGGCATGTCCACCATAGTTAGGGGAATTCCTGGGATGAGGGAAAGGTCAGCGCTTTCAGAACTACCAGGACTGGAAAACATTAAAAAAAATCTGTTCGATTTGTTACAGACTTTATTTGCAAGTGCATTCAGATCTACCTTTGGCATGCGTGACATGGAATAACACTAAAGTGATCCAAATGTTAGTGTCTGAACCTGTGTGATGACAGATTTATTTTTTTTCTGAAAAGGTCTGAAAGGTAGTAAGACTTATTTGTGATACATTGTTTATATAACTTACTTTATCTAATTTATTGGGAAAACTCTTTGGATAGCTGTCTGGCCTGACTGTTCATTGCCTGGCTCAGTGGTCTTTTTGAGATTGTTGGTTGGATGCACTGTTGGAGTGTGGAATGGAAAGAGGAGCAGGAGGGGTGGCTGCAGTGGTGAATGATTGATCCTCTAACCCCTCATGCAGTGCTAAGGATTATACAAAAAAATAATAAATAGAAGAAAAAAAAGCCCTCCTTTCCTACTGATTCTTACTTGAAAAAGGTTATAATATCAATTTATAATAATAATAAAGTATACATATGGGAGAGAGTGTGTTGAGATCCAGTTGATCGATAGTAACGTGGTCATGTTTGTTTGTTTCAAAATGTTCCTGCATTTTTCTTTTTCAGCAAGTTCCAAAGGCTAAAACAGTAGTGAACTGGTCTAACTGGGGAATGCCCTATTTCCCAAGAAAGAAGCATTGCTTTGTCTGAGCTGGCATTTGAATGGAAGGATCACCACACACCTTCCAGTTTAAAATTTATTTTGTAGAGATAATTTTGCATGCCTGCAGTTATCCTTTAGTAATATTAGTTTGCTCCTTGTACACTGTCTTAGCATGCATGCCTCAGTCTGAGCAACAGCAGTGAAGAGTTTAACAGCACAAGAAGGTAGAGTCTGTATTTCTGTAGAAGTGAAGGTTAGAAAGATAAAGAGAAGATTATTAAAATATTCACAAGAAGTGCTCTAGATAAGATTGTTTCGTGTCTGAGGGCATGATGAATCCTGTGGGAATGAGGAAGCTAAAAGGCTGTTTAATTCCGCTGTTTCACACTGAATCAACGTGTTAGATATCAAAGTGGCATTAGTGAAGTTTGTAAGAACATGAGCATTTTATGTAAAGAATATAGAAATAAAGTAAGTTAGTCCAAACCAAATCCTTCACTGTATCTGAGCTATGCAGCGAATGAACATTGGAGGCTTAACGTGAGTATAATAAATCAAACTGCCAGCTGAGCCTCAGAGGGCTTTATTCATGCACTTCATTGTTCTCTCTGCAGATAGAGCAGGGTTCAGCCAAACGCAGGGTTGTCATTCTGCAGATGTTCAGAGTGTTTCCCAGTGTTCTGAAGACCGAGCTGGTGTCTGTGCATTGTCCAGACTGCTCAGTTCACTGCTCAGAGTGGTCATGCTCTGACTTTCATGGGCACTTTTACATGCAGAAATCACAGTGAGTTTGCAGTTTTGAGTGAGTGGGGAGTTATGTTGCATGCTGTTGATAACTCCCAGAAAAGACTCAGATTTGTAGCTTCTGGAAAGTACTTTTTGGCGACAGAAGATGCCCTGCTGACCCTCTGCAGCTTGGCAGAAAATGTTCCTCAGTGCTTGAGTTTCCAAAGCACCTCTCTCAGGGTACTTATTGGGCTACTGGCACAGAGCAGGTTTTTTAATCTTCATCAGACTGTCTCCTTTCCCTATATCCTCAGTAGCAGGCAAACAAAATAGTGAAACAGGAGGCAGAATTATTTAGTAAGATTGAAATGGAAAACAAAAGGGTAAAAACAGAACAGACAGAAAGTTGTGTCCTGGTTTAACACATGGTGACACATCTGCTTGTTCTTACCTAGAGTTCTAAAGCAAGTCTCTGCTGTTAGGCCTGACAAGTCAGTAATAGTCTCTCATTAGTGTTAGCTTTAAGTATTGAAAGTTAAAATTGCTGAGTTTTCCATCACATCTTCTTTTCTTTTACCTCATCCTCACTAGGGCTCTGGCTGGAGATGGGCACCTTTGTGTTGAAAGAGTTGTTTTTTTCATTCTATCTGTATTCATTTTGCTGAATGACTGGTCCATAATTGACATGCATCAGTATTTTAATGAACATGCTTGCAACATGCTCATATGATTAGTGTGGTGTTTTATTAACTGTGTTTTCTGAGAGTATCTTGGGCATTTTATAGAGACTTTAGGCCTGCTGATAAACATTAACTAAATGATCCGATTAAATGCAGATCATGCTTGTAAATAAATATTCTTTCTCATCTTTTCCCTAGTCTGCTTCTTTTGGAGTTTTTCTTATCTTAAATTATTGTTCAGTGAACTTACCTAGTAAAACTTTAACTTAAGAGTAATCAATATTGCACTCACTTGTAGAAGGACAAGTAAACACATTTTTTCCTATCAAGTTAGGTTAAGATAAGAAATACTACAGCTAACTAATTTCTAATATTAGTTTGACAGGTGTATACTTTATCCCAGTAGAACAAAGGCAGTGTTTAGGAATGTTTTTCTTGGTAGTGGTTCTGTGAGCATAACCCTTGGATCTCCCTGTGGGTCAAGGACAAATTTTACACAGCCCTTTGCAGTGGGATAACTAAGCTGCCTGCTGACAAGATCAGGTACTTTCAGGTCACTGGAACATTAGGAATGTTCTGGTATCAGGGAAGCCAGTTTTTCTGCAACCTGCCCCTCATCTGTTCTGAATATATCAAGGGAGTATTTCAAGGAAATGCTAAGGAAGGTGAAGGTGACATCTAGGGCTTTATGAAGATTGGTGTGCATATCTCTAGCTGAACAGAACTTGCAGTGTTCAAACTTGACTCAGCTGTGATACAAGACAGATTCTTTTAACAAGCAAATCTGTGATATTTTCTTAAAACAACTCATCTGTCCATTTTGACTTCCTTTCTTTGTATTCTTTTTTTTATTATTCTAACTTCAAAAAAGAGTTGCCACATCTGATCCCATGCTTTTAATATTATTCATTACAAAATAAATGTAATAGTTTATACTCTTACATATTATGTGATTAGGCATGATTGTTTGGTTTTGCATTCTTCACTTGATTTCAGCTTGCATGACTGAGTTCAGAAACCTAATGAAAATGTTATTATGAGTTTTTTTATTTTGAATATGGTGACTGAATGACTTGTCTTGATAAATGTACTTGTTAGATCAGGGTCTGCTAAGCTGATGTTTCCGTTAAGAGTCAGTTTATGCCAAATATTAACTAGAGGCAGTAAAATCTCATCAAAGTATAATGAATCTGTGTAGTTAAACATTCCTTGGTTCTAACAAGCTGATGGAAGCTGTGATTCTGTATGTTAATGTGAAGTTGCATCTTGTAAGATCAGGGGGAAGTTTGGTGTGTTTGTTGTTCTTTCTTACACAACACAAACTTCAGTGTGAAGCTCCTAGTTGTAGTTAATGATACCTGACTTCTTGCTTACATAGAAATTAAGAAACAACTTTATTTGCACAGCTTGAATTGCTGTAATGTGTAATACTACTTCTGAATTTCTCCTGAGAGTATCAGACATCCCAGTAAAACCAAACCTCAGCTGCAATTTTCAAAGACTGTTAATCATTAATTTACTTTTTTGGGGGGGTGGGAGAAGGGGTAATGTTTTCTTAAGTTGCCTGCTTTAAATGAGAAGGTGACTACTAAGGTGACTGCCAGTTTACTGCTACACTACAAATCTATTTCTTAATAGTTTAATAATAATTTGCTGGTAACTTCAACTATGCGGCTGTTTGCTTCAGTCATTTATTCCCCCTCTGTAGAATCAAGTTACTTTAACTGTCTGGTTAATCTTTTCACAGATGTGGCTTGCAGATCATTGGAAACTGAAGCACAGTGGTGTACAGGCTATTGATAACTCTGTGCTGTTTCCTGCCTTTCAAGCTACTGGTTTAAGTTGTAAAATATAATTAGTTTTAGGTGTTGTACTTTTAAGTAATAAAAATAAATTGGTATTTGAAGATTAAATATTAGATATTTCACTTGCATACAGAGCTTGGCAGATTTTGCCAACTATGATACTCTGTTTCTTGCATTTAAGTGGAACATAAGGCAGCTGACAGTGGCTTTGTGCAAGAATGGCAAGTTTTGGTGCTTGAGTTTATTGTACACAAATGACTGGAGCCCTGTGTTTGCAGCATTTCCTTAAGTGTGCCTTTGTACATCCCATTGTACAGGTTAACTTCTAGCAATTTTCACAAAACCTACTTGTTCTAGAAATGTTACTGCTGATGCTTTTTGCTCTAGCACCAGTTATATTTGAATGCTTCACATTAAAAAAAGATTACAAACTGCACGTGAAATTGTTTTGGTTTTTTTTAATGGAATTGATTGCTCAGAGGAATTTTTTGTATGTTTTTACAGCATTTTTGTTGAGCTAATATGGTGTCCATTGAACTCTGTTTGAGATGCTACAGTTAGAGAATCACAGAATGATGTGTTGGAATTGACCATCTCATTCTAACTCTCCTGCCATGGGCAGGGACACTTTCCACTACACCAGCTTGCTCAAAGCCTCATCCAGCCTGACCTTGAACCTTGTGACTGAGAATCTGCAGTTGGTCACTCAGATAAAGAGTAGGAACAGTAAGTGTCTCTAAAAATTGCTTTCAGTAACTTGTCCTGCACTGGCAGGTAAACACCTCAGAAAAGGCTGTGGAAGATAATTAATTAGAGTTCAGTCAGTGTCCAAACACCTTGGGAGTTTTCTTCAGTTACCTGTCCTACTTTGTTTGGCTTTTAAAAAAGCAGTTGAAGCAAATAGTAACTGTTGTGGAAACTTGAGTGAAATTTTTAGCTCTTTCAACAGGTGAAGTAAGTCTTAAGGACTGTAGCATCCTTGCACTTCAGACTTCTTTCAGGGAACATGCTCTGGTTCGTAAGCTGAGTATGGCAGGATTCCTAGGAAGAGCCATATGTTTGCTTATTTTTCTATTTTTGTAAACATTTTTCATATGCCAATATGGTGAAATGAGGTGAGCAGCTTAATTTTTTTTTTTGGCTGATTTGTTATGGTTGATGCCTAGCTTTAATAAGCTTTTATTTCAGGCTCTTATATATAAAATAAAATCCTTATGCAGAAACTCCAGATTTAATGACATTTTTGTATAGGAGCTCTACTCTTGGCCTTTGCTTGCATCAATTAAGCTAATTCTGCAGACGGTACACTTGACCTAATGAAGTAACTGATGCTCATGTGTCAGCAGGTGTGTTATTTCCAGTCAGTGAAGGAGGACAGAACCACATCCTTGGGTAGAGGTTTTCACAGATATTTTTTGGGAATATTGGTATTGAGAAACATGTTATACCAACAAAGTCTTCATGGGAATTTTTGCCTGATGTGCTTTTTCTGTCTACTCAGAAAGATTTTTGTTTATTCTTGTGTGTGGAGGGCCAAAGGCCAGTGATTTAAGAGTCTCATCCCTCGACCCTGGAAAGGAGGTAGGAAGTAACACCTCCCTAGGCTGGGGTGAGAGAAGCCTTTCTCCCGCAGGTCTTTGCAGTTAAATGTTAATCCTTTTGGGTTCTGGTGTTCTATTGGTTTGCCAAGTTTATGTCACCCTGTTCAGCCTGTGTTTACCTTTTATGTATTCCTTCCAGAATGTTCCCCCTTCCTCAGACCCCAATTGGCCCAATTTTGGTGCATTGCTCTACCCTGTCAATCCCCATTGGTTGCCCCTGTCTCCCGTCCTGTGCACCATTTTTACCTGTTCCCATTGGATCCTAGCCCTCTGAACCACCCTCTCATATCTCATATATAATTCTGGGCCCTCAGCCTGTCCTTGTTCTTGTCCCTGGACCCCCTTCAAGGCAGTAAAGCTTTCAGGTACCCAAACAAGAACCTGTCCCGACGACATCCTTCCTCGTCAGCTTTCTAGTGGCACTGTGCCCCAGACCCAAATGTGCAGGCAGCCTTAGGGACTTAGTTGTAGCACGGTGCTGCACTTGTGTTCTTCTGGTTTGCCTTGGCCTCCTTGTGTTCTTCTGGTTTGCCCTGGCCTCCCCAAGGGTCGGGTGCTTTCAGGACTAACCTGTACTGTACCAAATACTGGCAAGTGGAGCACTGGGAACAGAAAACAGGCTTGGGACTCCTTCCGGCATTTAGGAAAAGTGATTGCTGTGGAATTGCTCAGCTGATTTCCATGGAGGTGGAGTCTGCTGACTGTGTTTGGCACAGAAGCCTGTGGGAAGAGCTCCATGTTAATGTGCAGTGTTAACAAAAGAGGCCGAAGGACAGTGTTCAGACTTGCAGTGGGGGTGAACTTGGATGTGGAGAGTGAAAAGCAGCTTGATGTTCCTCTGCTGATTTTTTTTTTTTTTTTTTTTCCAAGTTTCAGGTTTCTCTTGCAGGCAGAAAAGTACTAAAGCTGCATATAAAAGGTTGCAAAGTTAATATTACCTTTAAGGGCGTCTGGTTTTACCAAATTCATTTTTTGTTGTTTACTTTATCTGAAATCTACATCTTGCTCACATTACTCTTCCCCACTCAGAATGTTGATACCAAATGTCTTAAGTATTTCTGTCTTTTTAGGGAGCTGGGAGAAGGGAAGGTTCTGTTGTGGTTAAACAATTCACCTATCTTGGTTTCGCACTGTATCATCACCAACACGGGCAGTCCTAGCCTATGCAGTGCCTTCCTGTCAGTGCTGAGGATCCAGCTTCTATCCAGTGATTGAGATCATCTGCCTGCTGTTGCAGAAAACTCATCTTTTTTTCTCTATTTTTTTTTTTTCCCCAGGATTATTTTGCAGCTAACATAATGGTTGTCCAAGTAACTTGCATCATGAAATCCAGAAATTCCTGGAGCAGTAGAGGAAGTAGGAATCCCTCAGCTGGAAGACAGAGAAGATGACTACTCTTCTGTCACAGTGCTTTTTCCATGTTCAATTTAAACCATCCTGAAAGTGTACTAGTAGTCAGACTCTGTGGTGTGAGTATTTTTTTCATGGTTTTTGAATAGTCATTGTGCAACAGCCTCCCTCATTAAGATAATTATAAAGCAATACTGAGTTGCATTAAATGATGTTCTTGTTGCGCAGTTGTTTTCTGTTTGAGGTACAACACAGAATTCAGCTGCATGTAGTTATGTTCTTGTATTACTCTGTATTTTGCAGAGCTAATAAAAATTGCTTCAAGATTAACTTGAGAACAACTGTGTGTTGTTATCCCCAGAATGCTTGTCACTGTAGGCTGGGTACTGGCTTTCTTTGCTGCTGATCCTACTGAGCATACAAAGTAATGTTTTGGAAGAATCAGAATTGAAGCATGTGCTTCTAGACTTCACTGATGGGTTTGGTTTATGGAAATTTAGACCTTAGGCAGGATTAGAGCCTGTTCTGAAGTGAGATACCCTGGGGTACGTGTAGTTTAAATATTGTCTTCAGCACAAACTGTTTGGTTTTGCACATCTCCTCCCACTGAAGTACACTACCCACTAATGTGGGCAGAGGGTTGGGGTTTGTGTTTTTTAGAGGACCGCTTTAGTTAGTTAACCAGGAGGTGTGAAAAACATTAGTCAATGCAAGGAAGAGAGATCATTTCAGCTACTAATCTCAATAAGGTTGAGTAGCTCTCATTGTTAGTTTGAAACTTGGTGACAGTGTGGGAATTTTAGGTTTGCTGCACCAGAATTACCCAAACCCCAAGATTTTAATGTCAGGTAATGATCCAGGTTTTCCCCTTCACCAGATTATTTTGTTGGTTGCATTGAATTGTTGCCTAAACTGAATTGTCATGGGAATGAGTTGTAGGAACCAGTCCTACTCCTAAGTTACTGCTGAACTGTTTACTGTAAATGGTTTAATTTTGATTATTATGGAAGCCCTGCACTTACAGGGTGACTGCAAAATAGTTTGGGTCATAATATCCATCTTCAGTATTTCGTTTATGAGGATTTGAAAAGCTGTATTCAGTACTGGGAGGAAACAAAAATGAGATCTGCTGGGAAAAAAAAAGAGACTGAAAATCAGTCAGTCCTTACATTTAAAGGCATCTCTGTGTACTGCTTCAGAGTAACATTTTCAAGTTTTTACATTCAAAATAGTGTACTGTAGGAAACATTCTGCTGTGTTTTTCAAATTTGAGGGAGTTCTTGCATGAAAGCTAAATAAAAATCTTTCATATTGCTTGCTCTTTAATATGGTGGCATAAAATTAGAATCTTGAAGGGTTCTTTTTCTGGAGGATCACCTCATCTACAGAGGTGACCATGGGATAGTGTTTGGCAGCATATTTAAATACAGCAGGCTTAGGTATGCAACTTCTATTTTCTCTGTAACTTATTTTTTAAAATATTTTGCATCAACTGATAAATATAGTGCTAACATCAAATATTTGTGATTTCAAAACTGTTGGACCTGCTGGCAGTGGAATCTATTGATAACACCTGGTTATTTATAGAAAAGACTGTACTGATGTAATCTATGGATAGTTCTGTATCCCATATTGACTGCATTATGTCTGAGGACAATTATATAAACAAGGCTATAGTTGCTGGAAGCATATCACAGGAATTAATGAGATTATGGAGTTGCAGGTGTAAAGGTCAGAAGAGGCTTCTGGGGGGGTCTCTGGTCCAACCACTCATTCAAAGCAGGTGTAGAAGTAGCACTGAGATAAGTGTTTGACCCCTGAGACAAGCCCACGATCTGCATGTGAAACCTATGCCTGCTCTTCACCACCTTCTGGTGAAGAGGTTCCATGGTGCCTTTTGTGGCCATTGTCTTCCTTATCCTGTCTGCCAGGGCTGAGGGTGTTTGTCTGCACTGTTTTTACAGATTCTATTTTGCTGTGGCTGTGGACAGCTTTCACTTAGTTCCAGTCTTCTGTGTGCCAGAGGAAACAGGCCCCTCTCTGCCTCTCCTTGTAGATGATGCCCCTGAGACCCTTGACTACCTCAGTACCCATGGCTGGACCCTCTTTGGTTCCTTAGGCTCCTGATGAAGTGGGGTCCCCATCTGGGCACCAGATGTGTGCAGACTGGCCTTGCCAGTGTCCAGCCAGCCAGGGATCACTCACTTCCCACTGGCTCCTGTTCTCTCCAGCGTCTGCCCCAGTGCCTGGGCCCTTTCCTGCAGGGCTGGTGCTGTGCCAGCCCTCCCCAGCCTGTGCTGGGGGTATGGAACTCTTCTGCCCTGGGGCACAGCTTTGCTTTCCTGTCCTGGGCCTGATGAGGTTTGTTTTGGCTCTAGCCTCAGGCTTATACATTTATCTTTACATTTGTGGAAGTGCTGCCATTCCTTGTGTGAGACCTCTCTTCCCTGCTCTCCTCCACTTTCCGATCCCCTGCCAGTTTGCTGAGGGTGTTCTCTGTCCCATCTTCCTGGGTGCTGGTGAATCTTTGGAGCTCTGGGATGGCCCCTGGAGTCCCCCCTGGCCCAGATGCAGCCGGGTGTTCAGCTGCTGGTTGCAGCTGTGTGATCCAGAGATCTGGCCAGTGTTCCAGGCCAGCTTCCCTTCTATTCATGGAGCTCTGGGCTTCCAGGTGAGTCTGTGGTAGGAGACTTGTCCTGAAAGTTGTCCTGAAGTTGAGTATTCTCTGGGCCATTCAGCTTTCAGCAGTCCCCCAGGAGTTGGGTAGGCTCTGCCTTTGATAAATATTTGTCAACTCCTTAAGATTATCAAAATTAATTTCATCTGGACTTTTTCCATATTCCTTCCAGAAGCTGATGGGACTCTATACTTTCAAGTTCTCAGGCACAAGGTTGGTGGGAACTTCCTGTGAATGCCATGATGCTTTCGTAGGTGACAACACTCAGAGGCACATGGTGTGATTCATGGGTGTACTGTGCAGGGCCAGGCATTGGACTTCATGATCTTGTTGGGTCCCTTCCAACTCAGCCTATTCTGTGATTTGATGAATGTTGGGGTAATTCTGCATAGAATACAGGAAAATCCAACTAATTTAGTAGTTGGTAAACAAAATTTTTAACAGTCAGTATGAAAATCAGAAATTATTTTCATTATTTGCAAAAAAAGAAATCCTGCTAAAAGTTACATCTTCTTCAAGAAGTCATATGCCTCATATTGTATTAGTCCAGTAACTAAAATTTAACTCTCATGCTGTTCCAACTCAAATTTATCAGTTATACTCCAAGCAAATTCGCAAACTAGGAAAGTCTATTCTCATTCTTGTTTGTTATAAATTATTGAAGGAAGTGGCTTGATTGTGGGGGAGAGATGGTGTTTGAGAGTCTCCGAAAGCAGTAATTTTCCAAGTCTATTTGTCAGATCTGATGTAAGATTGATTCTATAATACGGAGTTAATGTTTTCAAAATGAGCTGCTTGGCCAGCGCACTGTGTCTGCTTCCAATTACTGTCAGTAATTCCTGAAAATTATTTTCTGAGAAGGACTTGGTGAATTCTGCATTTTAAATAGCAATAATCAGTATGAAAGTAGTTGAGTTTTGTAATATTTCATGCTGTATGGTTTTGGTTTTGTTTTTGAGATTGTTGATACTGAAGTGGGTGCCATGACTGTGATGTTCTGGCGTGCACTCTTTCCTCTGTGGAAGCAGGATTACGAGTATGCTTAAAAGAATGGATCTCTTGGGTATTACTGCAAAACAAGTAATTGACTTTCTTAAAAAAAGAAAACAAAACCACTTGTGCATAGGAACAAAGATGTTTTGTAAACCCAAGTGCTGTGCACTTATCTGATGTTTGTCACTTGCATGCTTGCTGGGTTGAGCTTATTTTCTTTGAAGTAATTTTAAAAGTGTATATGCTCTGGGATCAAGGTTAGGATTGATACTGGTGTATAGTTTGCTTCTCAGTATGATATCCTTCAGAATTGCAGTGAAGCAGTTGAGCCCTCTTTATACAGCAGGGAAAATAGGTGGTTGTGACACTGTACTTTCAGTAGAATCTACAGGCTGCAGCAGCAGCCTCCAGACTCTGCTTTCAGAATTCAGTGTGATGATGCCAGGACTTGTCATATTTGCAACTATACTCATTTGGAAGGATTGGAAAATTTTCACAGAGGATTATCCTTAAAATGGGAACATTCCCTGTGGCACTCTTGGTGCTCTGGCCCTTACCATCTTCTGCAGCAGTTTAGTAATTGCTGCACACTTAGTTGTTGGACCCTGCTGTTAGCAGACTGTCCAAATGTGCCCTTGTTCAGCAAGGTAAGCAAAGGGACTTGGAATGTCTGCTTGCAGTTCTCAGTTTGTTCCCTCACAGTGTTACAGAGAACTATTGTTGGCAGCTGATACCACCAGAGAATTATAATTGCAAATGTGAGTGAAAAGTCATTAAGTGAAGAAGTGTGCTAAATGTGTCATTGATTGGAATCTTCGACACCAGACTCAATTGATATCCACTCAAAAGAGCCCCCAACCAACCAACAACCTACTTAATAAGTGACATATTTATATAGACTTTTTTGGTTTCTCTCTTTTTAGGGAGATTTTTCTATCCATGCTCAGCCATGTCTGAGTCAGCAGATGTGGAGGACTTCAGTAGTGAAGTTACTACAAATAATTCAATCTTTACCATTCCTGGAATTTAGATAATTTTTTAGAGGGCAGTGCAATGAACATCTTTTAGGTGTGTTCTTCATTTATATTTCTTGTCAAGTTTAAAGTTGTTTTTGTCCTTGTGCTTCTGTCTTCTACTCTCTTAGAGCAATCAGATCACTGATAAGAACTTTTGTATTTTTTCACATTCTGAATCTTATGCTTTAGAGATGCCTTTAAAATGAAAGAGCCCAGTTTTTACAGCCAGCTTTGTCATCTTGGATCAGCAAGACTGTGGTTACCTTGGAAGATGAAAAGATTATAGGCCCATATTAGGAGCTGGAAGACTCTTCAGGATAGCGTGGAGATACATCAAGTAGAGGGAGCTGGATATACTCAGTGATTTGTTTTAATAGTTTGTTAGAATCTGTCCCACATTGAGCAATCTAGTTTCTCTGTAGATCATTACCAGAAATGAGGCACAAATTCCTTTCCTGTAAGAGGAACCTAAAGTGGTAAGTAGCTGAAACGATGTAATTAGAACTATGCCATGGATAACAGTAATGAGTTACAATGTTAAACCTACTTCAATTGTATAATCAAAATTTCTTGCTGACACTAAGGAAGGAATATTTCAATGGAAACTTGAGGGAAAGGATAGAACCTTTATGTGAAATCTGGCCTTATACATTCATAGTATTCATATTTCTCCTAATTCTGTAGTTCTGGTTGTTCAGAACCAGAACTTGTGCATTGGGATGAGGCTGTCCTGCTGGCAAAGATTAAAATCTAGAATGTGAAAATAACAGTGCATGTTGCAGTATGTCCTATAGCAATATAAACAGCTGGATGACTGTGTACTGAGGAAGAGAAATACAAGTAAGGGTGGTAATACTGTTCCTTCTTTTTTTCTGTTCTTGATTGCAGGTTAACATGGTTGGGACTTGAGGGTAATTCATTACGATAACTTTTTAGTGTAGTAGATGAGTTTTAATTTTTTTTTTTTTTAGTTCATTTTTAAAGCAAAATGACCTTGGATTAGCCACTTCCTATCTCCTGTGGTGACTGTGGAGATTACCAGTTACTGCAGAACTTCCCTGAAATAAAGACTTAATTTGCCTGAATAACATCTTGGGTATGGTACTCCACCCAATGGAGAGCCAAGATGCTGTTCCATAAATAAACATATGGTTTCTTTAGGCTGAGCTGTGTTGCTCAGCCAGAGGAATATGAGACTGGTGGAGAAGAGGGGGGTGGAGAAGAGGGGGGTATCTAAATGCTGCCATCATTTTTAGGCAGAGCATGCTAAATTCATGATTTTTTTCAAACTCGGTTCAGAGTAAGATGTGGGGCAACCTTGAATCAGGATCTGAACTTTATTTTGGCTTATACCATTATCCTTTTTCAGTAGTTTGTCCTCCTTAGAACTCCATTTGTCAGATAAAAATAATTACTTTACCACACTTCTAGTTGTTAGCTTTACTGAAGTAATTACATACAGCATATGCATCCAACCCTCACTGAAATTCTGAGGTGTGTTAGTAACATTCTACTTTCATGCTTTCCCAGACATTTTTAAAATACAAAGACGCTTTTTTCCTCTTTCTTTAAAATTGGTAATGTTAGATTCAATCTCTTTCACTATATTAGAATCCGTGTCCCAGTTTAAAAGGTCTTTCTCCCTCTTGTGCTGGATTTGTTAGTTGCACAGTGTAAGTATTAGTGATCAAAAGAAGCTGAACTTGTTTTTCTGAAAATACACAGGAAATGCAGTGTTAAAACTACTCGTGTACACTTCCTTCTTCATAGTAATTCCTCTCGATGGGTATTGTTAACTTGTAGTGCTTCAGTGAACTCTGTGTGTCAGAAGTTCACTGCAATTCACAGTGGAAGCTCTTGATTTCCACTGTGAAGTTCTTCCTACTGTATTTCAATTTGTGAGCAGTTCAAGGATCCCTTCAGTAGTTAGGTTTAATGTTTAATTCTCAGTTCTCTTCTGGTCAATATGCATGACTTAAAAAAACCCCAACCTCATAGCAACAGTGAGCATCTGTCTGCCTCTGTCATTTCTCATCACTCTGTGCTTGCATCTGAGGCTAAATTGCTTTGACTGACAGATGGGCTGACTGACAGGATCTTGGCTCCAAACACACACATACACATGCCCACACAGACAGGCTCCTTGGGCTCCATTTACATTTCACTGTTTGTCCATGGCAACTGAGGCCCCAAATACAGTGAGTTTCAGTGGTGATGCTGGTTGTAGACTGGGGGAGTCATAAGATGTGGGGGAAGAGAAGGAGGGAGCACTTTGGGTGCTGCCTTCCGCGTTTCTTCCCTTCCTTGACTTTTTGCTCAAGGTGCTTGTGAAAGGTGCAGTAGAAGTTTGTGTGACTGGTTAATTAATGATGGAGGCTTGGGAAAATTGTAGTAAGTCATGGTGATCTGCATGGCTTTGATTTGGAATTGGTGAATGAGCACAAATAGTATTGTAATGGTGTCTGTTTTAAATCCTGACTTTTCCATGAGGCTTTTTTTAAAGTCACGCATATTGACAAGAAGAGAATTGAGAATTAAGCTTTAAATCCTAACTATTAAAGGGATTCTTGAACTTCACACAAATCTAAATACAGTAGGAAGAACTTCACAATGGAAGTCAACAGCCAGCATCCACAGATTTTCTGGTAGTTGAATAAGGATTTTAATTATATTTTTTGTTATTCAAGAACATTGACAACTGAAGAACAAATCCTAGGCAGGTGATCTTATATTGCTGTTAATAACAAAGAGGTAAATTTCAGGTGTCAGAAGGACTTCATGTAGTATTAAAGATTTGCATCATTCTGTGTGTTCTCTACCTGTGGACTTAGGAGACTTCACACTTCAAAGAATGGGATCTTTTATTACTGTTCTCAAGAAAAACAGTTAAAGGCATTAAAGGAAGCCAGCAGACAATATTCTTCAGCTTGTGATGGCAGTAGAATAAATCCTTGTTGTTTTCAGAGCTTTTAATCTTTACAAGAACAAGGGGGCTATGCCATTAATGAAGATTGGAGTACTTTCTCTACTTTTTTTGTTTGAAAACAAGACAGTGGTTGGGAAAATAGCTGAAGATGCTTCTTAATGAATGTATGCCTTCAGTTTTGATTGAACTTTTCGAGAAATTGGTGCCTTTCAAGCATGTAGTTGTACTGTCACCTGTAATGCGGCTGCCTTTTTACACATCACATTTGGAAATGAAAATTTCAACTCCTTTATACAAATATAATTACAGTGTAAGATGTTATGCAAGTATTTATAGTTGATAGTGAATTCAGTAAAGCAGCAAGAGATGTCATTGTCATGTAGATTGGCAATTTTGTGATGATGTGCATGGTAAAACAAAACAAGGTTGTGGAGAGTTTGTTCTCTTTGGGCAGGTGACATTGTAGTAACCTTCATTATTCCTTAAGAAGTGTTAAAGGAAAGCAGCCAAAGAAATGGCTCATTGCAACTTAATGCTCAGCAGCCTAATTAGTCAAATACCATGTGCCTACCTCTGCATGAAATAGCCTATTTCTTTCCAATGTAAAATAGGAATTTTCAGTTTTGGAACAGCCTGAAGAGGCCTTTGTTGCAAATGACCACTGGCTTTTCAGTTATTTATTCTCAAAAATAATGAAGGTCAGCATGGTATCCATAGTGATTGCATGCCGCTTCCTCGTTAATCTTGGCATGCTGCTGTAATAACGAAATTCACTTACTAGTAACAACTTCTCGTGTTGCAGAGGGAAACCTTTCTTTGAAAACTGGATGTGATTTGGTTTCTGTAACTTGGGAATCTTGAATACTGTAGTTTTTCTTCAGTTTTAAACTCCTTGTCATAATTTCTGGTTGTATGAGTTGCTGTGGAGGTCTAAACAGAGAACAAGCAACCTTAAACTGTTGAAGTTTACATATAATCTGGCACTGGAAAACTTGTGACTTGAAAAATTATTTTCATTTGGAAGTGATAAGGACTGCTAAATGGGGAATATATCATTCTGCTTGCAGCTTTGTTAGTGGGAGGAAGGCATTCTGCTATAAACTACAAAATTAAGGCTTGTAAGAAGTATGTGAATATGATCAAGCCAGAATGGTTGAATGCTCCCAGTTCAGTGTGAAATCAGAGCATTAGGAGAGAATGCAACAACTAGCTGGGTGAAATGCTTTTAGTAAATTACTTTGGTGTAATGCACACTATTTCCTCTTTAAGTATTATACAGTGTAAATATTAAATTTTAATACTGTAAAGGCTCTTTTAACTTGGAGAAAATACTGTTGCAGAACTAAATGCAAATCTTGTGGGAATTCTGATGGGAACTTGAAGATGGGGAATGAAATGGCTCCATCTGGAAATTGCTTTCCCTCTCACCCCATCCCCTCTCCTTTAATGCTTATCCAAAGAGAGTGGGTTTCATTTGGGTTTATTTTAATCAGTTGGTTATGATAGAGCTTTAAACCGATCAGGAAGGATTCTGACCTTGGGGGTAAATATTTTCAGAATTCTGTCAAGTTTATGGTATTTCTTCATTATGAACATGGCTTGTTTTTGCTTCTGTCTAATTTTGCATAGAGCTGTATTTAAAAACATAAATATTTATGAGAAGATAGCCATTTTCAAAATTCATGGGAAAGTTCAAAGTGGAAGTCTGTTTTTGAGAGCTCCAAAAATGAGCCTATAGGGAAGTAACATCAGTGTATCTTTAAAATAATCAATATTTTATGTCTATTTTAAATGTATAAATTAAATATATATGTATAAATACAAATTTTAACCTAAAGATGTCTTAACATGTATACTGAAATTGAGAATTTTTAATCCAGTTGTTACATTTAGAAATATTAATTTAGTGTAAGTTGTGTGTGAATCTAAAACTGTACTTTTGCTACTGAATGTATAAACATGTTTTCTTCAATATTAGCTGCATAGTAATTGGCTGGAATGTTACAGAAGCTTGTCTTAAATACTTTCTTTTTTTATTTCCCTCTCCTAGAGGTGACCAGCTGCTCTGCACCGAGGCCCTCTCAGTGATGTATCGTAGTCTGTTGCTGTAAACATCCCCGACTGGAAGCTGTACCAGCTCCAGCTTTCAGTCAGATGTTTGCTGCACCTGGCTATGCTTGGACAACAGCAGAAGGGGAAGCTGACATGAATACTTCTGTGCATTTATATTTGTCAAGCAGTGTTTCTATAAACAGAGATGAATTGTCTCCCTATGCATTTTCCTGGCTGGTAGGTGTGATCTGAAATGTAGTCTGAAATGGAGATCCAAAGCTGGTGCATGAGTTGCTCAAAGACTAGCTGTTTGCTGCCTTGTGGTATAAACTACAGGATTAGGCTTCCTTGGAATGACAAGTAGTGGTAAACTTCTACAGTTACCCATGAACCCTTTATTGCTTTATCAGTTGTCTATTTTAACAGCTTCTATTTCTTAGGTCTGTGAGGACAAATTATTATCAATGCTGTCAAATACTTAGCAGGCCTCATAGCTGCTGTGCCTTGCTTTTTGTTGTTTTCTCTGGAATTCTGTATTCCAAGTCTCCTTTTGAGTAGGTTGTGCTCCTAATTGTTAGCTGGGCATAACCCAACACCAAAATAAAGGTTAAAAACACATTGCCCAGTCTGGTTTTGCTGTTCACCCAATCCACAGAGTGTCCTTGTCTGTGGTGTGGTTTGTGCTGCCCCTACCATGGTTTGCTTTTCATGGAAGTAACAGCTTTTGAAAGTATTCCATCAGAAGTGAGTCTTCACTGGTTCAGCTCCTGAACAACTTAAAACAGTCATGTCATCAGGAAAAGTATCTGCAGAAAAGCTTCAGTGCTTTCCACTTTTCTCCAATGGCATTTGCACATGCGGTTGCCTGGATCTTGCCTGGGACTAGACTGCTCTTTCTAAAGGGATGGCCAGTGAGAGTAACTGCTGCTAATACAAAAAATATTCTTCCAATAATTTAGCTCTCCATTCTTTTGCCTCCCAAAAGGTTGTTTTTTTTTTATTTTTCCCTAACACTTAAATTTAAGACTTTGTTTAATTTAAGTTGTAGTATACCAGACTAGGTATTTATTTGTTCATCTTCACCATAGTGGTTCTAAAATCATCTAAAAAATGATTATGACCAAAAATACAGATACTTTTAAAAAGTAAAATGTTTTCTCCTTAACTTATCAGAATTAAAACTAGAAGGATTTCTTAGTCCTGGGAAAGCTGGATTAGTAAGCATTGGAAAGGCGATGATTTTGAAGCTGTCACTGAATGACCGAAGGTGAACCAAGGACAGCCATTATTCTGTGATGGTCCCATTCCTGTAACCATTTTCTTTCTTACCCTTTGTTATGCCTGGTGACACAGGAATGTGGGTGGTGATAGAAGGTCATGAACTTATTTATTGATCTAATTCATTGCCTGCACCTCTACAAAGATATTTAAAGCACACCTAACATAACCTCAGTTAAAATAGCTTTTTTTAAAAATAATTGTCTTGGTTTGATAAATCATGACTGTATATTTATAAAAAGTGCTTTGATGCAGAAGCTACAGAGCTTGATTCCTTAAAAAAAAAAAAAAAAGCTTGGTAGTTGTTTTCCAAGCTTTCTTTGCAGTAAATATTTAGCATTTCCTAGTTCTTGAGAGTATTTGGACTTAGACGAAAGGAAATGTTTTTTGTTAACAAACTGCTTAGATCAAAGTAAACGTATTATAATAAAACTAGTGTTCATTTTGGTTAGTGCTGTCTTAGCCATTCCACATGCTCCATAAGTGCTGCCTTTTTTTTAAAAAAAACCAAAAACTTAGGTCATGTGCAGTTTGTCAGTCTAGTCTTGTGCAATTGAACTTGTGCATACCTTCATATTGTACTGATGTCTAATCCATGTACTCAAACACAGCTGTCTCATGTCAGCACATGAAAATAATTTCAAGTGCCTTGTAACTGCAGGAAATAAATTTTAAAAATCCACACTCTATTTTTGTTTGAGGGGTTTTTTTGTTTGTTTTTTTTTCCAAGCATTTGAAATTAAAAGATCTGCTTTCTCTATGCATGAAATACCAAGTCCTGAACATCTTAACATGTCTCAAAGGTGGTTATTGTTTGCAGCTGAAGAAGGTGGGTGTTGTAGTGTTGTCCACATGTGTATTCATGCCGTGCTTCCAGGTGAGCTTGCAGTACTCAGATATCTGGGAAGGGTTGGATGGGGATTTGGCATAGTATCTGTGCAGTTCTGGTGGGGATGAGGAGTGGAAGCAGGACAGGCTCACAAACACAGCAATGAAGTTTGGGAACAGGAGAGGAGAGGCAGATTTGACATGTCAGCTTGATGCTCAGCAAGCAAGTGACCTCATCTTGTTCATGTGAAGCCAGCAACCATTGCTTGTGTGACATGGATCAGTTCCTGGTGTTTTGCTGCAGAGGGAAATACCTGAATGAAAACCGGGTTGGGGATCCAGAGTGACACAGTGGCCTCACAGCTACTGCTTTTGGTATGTGCAGGTGCAAGGTACAGCTGCCTTTGGGGATAAAAGCTTGTGGTTAATACCAGGTTTGACCCTTGCTGAGCAGGTGGACAGTGGAGTGTCTGTGAAGTCCAGTGTTGAGCTTGCCTCTGGTGGTCCTGTGAGCACTTTTTGTGACCACCTATGAGCAATACCCCAAAGTCCTTGGTGATTTTGCACTGGCCTGATAGAGCGCTCTCTTCTCTTGCTCAGAGCTCACAGCTGTGTTCAGCAGAATTGCTTGAGCTTATGTTTTCCTGCATACAAAGACCAACTGTTAAAACATTTGGAGGGCTTTCTCCCTCCTCTATGCATGAAATAATCTGTATTTGTGATTCCCTTTACCCAGTAAAGCTGCAAACACCTGTTCAGAGAAGAGTATGGAGAAGGCTGAGGCTTGGCCTCTTGACTGGGTTCACTGAAATTTTGTCTTTCTGCACTACTGAGGTCTTGTTTGTTCAAGACTGGATATCAAACACACCTGTAAAATACAAGAGAAATGCTGAAGCTAAGGAGTGTTTTTCTTTTTTGCTATTATAATGACTTGTAATTCTGAGTAGCTGAAACTGGAGGTGAAAATAAAAATGAAAATAGTTGAAATAGTAGAAATGCCTTTAAAAAGTTCTAGAGGAGAAATGGGAATTATTTTAAGAACATAAAAATAAGATGAACAAATGTTGCAACAAATGCTGTAAAATTTAGCACACTAAAGAAACTGGAAATATAAACAAAGGATTGTTTTTGCATAGGATTTGAGATGGACATTTCTGAGGATTCCCAATTTGTATCACCCCATTAATCTTCTGTATATATTTTAGAATTGAGTTTCAATTTTAAAAATAGTTTGAGTTTTCTAGAAAGTGCCTGTACTCTGAATATCAAGGGCCTTGGCAGGTAAGTGCAATAGCATGCTCTTCTACAGAGGCTGTGAGAGAGAAACATCTTATTTTTGCTTTTGGACCTCTACAACATCAAGGACTTTACATGGATATTACTGTGAACTGATACTTGGAAGATCAAATGTTAAAATGCATGGATTGACTTCATGATGTTAGTCGAGATTAATAAGAGTTGCATGTACAGTATGAGTGGTGCAAATACCAAATATGTCTGTTTAGATTTATTTTTTGATATATTGAAAGGCACTTCTGTATTTATATAGTTTAGCTAATTTTTAGTTCCTGTAAACATCCTACACTCAGCTATAACAAGTGGTGGGGCTGGGGGGTGGATGTATAAGACTTCAACTGGCTTTGAAAGGCAGCTTTTCTAAATGACCAAGTGGCATTGGCAAGCAGGGAATCCTATTTTTCAGTACTATTTTGTATTGTAAGCACTAATTTCTATGGAAGCAGTATGTATTTTTAGAAATCTCTTCATGCTCAGATTATGATTTTGGCTGTAGAAAAGCCTATATGTTTGTTGGGAAACAGGCTTTAACTGATGGGATCTGTATCTTTCTAATTGCAAATAAACTGTGACAATCTATCTTTGCTTGAAAAGCAACGTCTCATACCCTGATGACAGAAGTCATCTAAAAGCTTATATTGAATGTTCAGTTCTCAGTTGCAGCAGTGATTTATTGCTTATTATCTACTTGATTGTTGTCAAAGGAGAAATAGATTTACAGGGTACTGTAAAAACAATTCCCAAACCAAAAGATCATTAAAATAGTAAAACTACTAAGCTTTAACAATTTCTGTTGCCCTTTATATCTTAAAAAATTATATCTTTGAAAGGGGAAATCTGCATAGGAGAAAAAAGACAAGTATCTCTTGTTTTCCTAGTAGCTCTTCTTCTTTCATGTCTTAGAGTCACATTCCTACTGCTGATGAATGTGTTGTTAAATGGCTTCAGCATTTGGGCATTATTAGGTACCAAAAATTTTTTAAAAAGAGCTTAAATATTTTTATCCAAATGTAAGAATGGGGGACAAAGAATTCCTCATCTTTATAAAGCATAAAACTGGCTTCTTGAGGATCACACTTACAATCTGGTATCTTTGTTAGTACTTGAAAGGCTCTGACTCCAGAATGTAATATTTCTTATTTATAAGACCAAATACATTATAAAAATTAGTGAGAGGATTTTTCCTCATTTAAATTAACACACATCAGCCACATTTCAATATAGTTGAACTTTTTGTTGTGTTTTTATTTTTGCTGACAAACTGAGGAGGTCTTTTTAATACATGGAAGTCCTTGTGGGCAGGTGTTATGCAATATATGGCACAGGAGGCTATTGCATGGAAGAGACCACATCAAATTCTGTATCTGAAGATCACCTGTATCTGTGTGAACACTGCAGTGCTACCATGTGCTTGCTGTCTGTACACTTCGGCATGTACAAAACTGTTCTTTTAGATTTCTATTCAGTGCATCTGTTTTACTGACACAAAACACATTTCTCCAGTTTGGATGAACTAGGGAAGTCTGAGGGATGCAAGTTCTCCTCCTCAGGAGAGATGATGTAATTAAAAACATTAAAAGCTTATCTCCAGAAAGAATCTGCATGTCTTTCTATTCCATTTCCCAGAATCAGGTGCCCTGTTGTGTCCCTGACTCTGCTGAGAGTTTCTCTCAAGTTCTGCTGCCTTTCCTTCACCCATCCTGCCGTGGTTCCCATGCTCTGGGAATGCCGGGTTTGACAGCTGTGCTGAAGCACGAGGAAAGTGCCAAGACAGAAGGATTTCCCTGTCAGGCTGTAACATCTTGCAGCTTTGCTGTCACTTATAACATGGTGGTGAGTGCTGACGCACGCTCTTGACCCATCCCACTGTGATTTCTGCCCTCACTCATGGGAAGGAACACACTCTGTAACTAGCACAGCTCTCCGGTGTCACAGGGAGCAGTGAAAGGCTCTTGCTGTCCTCCCTCAGACTGGATCCATGCGCTCACTTGGTGTATTGTGTGCACCACTAGCTCGTGGAGCCACGCAGTAGTGACAAAAAAAGAAAAAGTTTTATGGCAGGAAGGAATGCCCAAAACAACAGTTGCTGCCAGCCAAATTTTCAAAGATGCATCTTTCCAGCCAGTGCCTCTATGCGGAGCTAATTTCCTTGGTAGCATGGACAGTGAGTAAACAATCTGAGCAGATCAGATGTGAAGGCATATTTGATGTTTCAGCAGGTTGATTTTTGGGTTTTTTTTAATGCATTTGAAATCTAGAATTCATGTTGCAGAAACTCAAGTATGATCCAACTAGACACTTAACTGTTTTATTAAAAAACAGTTCTGGTTGCTTTTGATGCAGCACTTGAAAACTCATTAGAAGTAGAACGTAAATATAGTAAACCAAAGCTTTAATTAATGTGTTTGAATAGTTGGGATTTTCAAGAGTTTGCGTTCTTTGTGGTTCCAGGTTTGGGGATTTTGTTTAGCTGTTCCTTGGTTACTTGGGCAGTAGGGCAGGTTATAATGATACTGTATCAAATAATTTCAAATAGTTTGGTTTCTCCTAAGGGAGAAAATACACTCACTGAAGAGTGTCAGGACCAGTATTTGGTGGGGGGAGGCTTGTTTGGTTTTGTTTTTGTTAAGTGAGGATTTGATAGGAGTGCCTGTGTGCACCCTTCCATGGGCTCGGCTGAACTCGTGAGTGTGTTGAGTGCTGACTTGTTTTCCATTCTGTGAAAATCTTCATTTGAGAATCAGGCGGACTGATTTTGGTACTGTTCCTCCTCATTGAGGTAATATTTGGCATTCTGGTTTGTGCTAAACTGAAACTAAACTTTGAAAAAATGTGTTTGAGGATTCCAAGCATAAAATAACCCTGCAGAATTTGAAACCATGTTTTAAATAGTGTAGTTCACTTTTTTCTTCCATTCTGTTGGTGCTTTTTAGATAAACAGCGATAATCCCATGGCGCCAGTGATGGCCTAAATCAAAATGGGATAAATATCTTGGGCAAAGATAGAGTGTGAATGATTTATAAGATTATCTGGAAGTTTTTTATAGATATGACATCAATGGTAAGTCACTTAGCAGTCAAAAATCAAACTTCTCTTGAAAAACACAGAGGCATAGTTAATGTGGATCTTTTCAAAGTACAAAGTTAAAACTGCTTAAAACTTAAAACGTGATTTTATAGTAGGTGAGTATGAGTAATTAGGGTCTTACTTCTGGCATTGGGTTCTCTCTTTCTGTTAAGGAACAGCAGATCCCTCACTTGTCTACCTCTGCAGCCAAGGAAAGCCTAATCCATGGAACAGTACATGGGCCCTGGAAGCAGAACGAAGGAAATGCACAGTACATGGGCCCTGGAAGCAGAACGAAGGAAATGCAGTTTATGTCACTCAGAATTGTTTGTTGTCTGATAATATCACTGTCTCAGCAGGGAAATAATTTCCTGTAAACAATATGGCTTTATCTGAAAAATCTGCCATTTTAATAAAGTGAAAAATTATTTTTCCAAACTTCACACAAGCTTTATCTTTGTCTGACAGGAAAAAGGGAAGCGTCAGGGATGAAAGATGCCTTGTGAACTGAGCTGTTTACTTAAGGCTATGGAAAACATGCTGAACGCATATATGTTAAGTGCATAGCTTAATGCATTTTTTAAATAAACACATTTCCCCACATATTATTGAATTACTTGAATTGACTAACTACCATCTAGTGGAAAAGATCTGTTAACCATCTTCTTCTGGAGGTGTTTCCCGCTTATTCTAAGGATTTTGTAAGATAGCAAAGGTCTAAGCTGGATCACAGTCCAGGGTTGACAGTCCACAGAAGCTTTTTAACTGTGTGTGATGTCCCACCAGACATGAAGTCTTGTTCATCCTATGAACTGCCTACCATAGTTACTGTGGGCTGCTTCCTGCCTGTAATGCAGATGTAGCACACCCAGGATTTCCATTGTCACAGCTACTCTGCTTCTCCAGAGAGAGGCACTTCTTGGATGCATCCCACGCCAAGGGGTTGACATTGGTCTGTCTCTGTCAGCTGGAGATGCAAACTTTGTACCTCCAGAGAAGTGTTAATGAAATCTGGCTTCTGCTATGATACAAAGAAATACCCCTGACTCTTCCTGCTTAAATTAGTCTCAGAAAAAAGCTGGTGTTTCAGGATAGAGACAGGAAAGCAAGAAGCAAACTCAATCTTATCAAAAGATGGAATCTTTGAGGGCAAAAGAATGGGAAGATAATTTAGTAGAGTTTTCAGATCAGAGGCACTAGTGTGTATGTTGGTTCTTCGTGTTCTGCAGGAATTTGAACAGTGATGTTACATTTCCCACTAGTAAACATATTTATATCTGCTTTTACCTGAGACATCCTTACATTAGAAATCTCAGTGAAAAGAAGTGAGGAATCTCTTCTCTCTATGTTCTTTATACTATGATACTTCTTGGTCAACTAATTTGATAGGTGTTTTGTAGGATTTTGAAGCACAAATTTCCCAGATTTCTCCTTTCTGAGCTTTTTTGAGTTTTTGCTATATAAAGTTTTTCCTATTTGGAATCAGTGAATTGAGGAAATGGAAACTTTAGCCATGGTCACATGCTTAGTAGCAGAAAATAAATATTTAAATAATCTTGGATGGTGTTTCATGGCAAGAGTAAAAGTTTTGATACAGTTTTTCATATTTTTTTTTAATACTAGAAGAACCAATTGCATGTTGAACAATCAGAAATAATTTCCATACAGATCCTCATCTTAAAACTGGTTTTTCTATTTATTTAGACTGCTTAAAGTGCAGATTTAAGGTATTGTACCATAAAAACTGTGTGTGTGTATATAAATATGTAGGTAAGGAAGTAGTTAATATTGTGGGATGCAGAATGTAGGCTTTGATTCCTTCCATCAAAAACATCCTTTTTGATGTAGATGCCATTTTAATTAAACATCCATGTGTGCTGCTGTGTGCTGGTCCTTGGCTGGATGTCCTCCAGCATGTCCAAATGGGATATTGGAAAATCCTAGAATTCCAAACTTCCCTGAATTTTTGTTTGAGCTGCAGCATTCCTGCTAGAAGAAAAAGTAAGTGAGGTCACACTAAAGTAACAGCTTCCAAGGGCTTGATCTCAATGACAGCTCACATCTGTTAATTAGATTTGATGGTTGTTTTTAGGGCAGATAGTGCTGCTGATGTGGGACCATGTAATCTATCTAAAATTGTTGTGACTGAAGGCCAGATTCTGATTCCATTAAATTCTATAACATCTGAGTGACTTCACTGATTTCTAAGGTGGTTTTTTTTTCTGGCTTTCATTAATATGAATGAGATTATAATCAGGCTTCAGTTATGGTTCAGAATATATCAGGAGATAAATATAAGCAAATGTAAACAGTTATAAGGCACATGAAGAGTCCACAATACATACATGGTTTAACTATATAACCCAGTTTTAAAAAATAACCACTTTTGCAAAATTGACAGCTGTGCTATGACGGGGATGAAGAATTTCTCAGCAGAATTTCCTTGTATGAACATAAAACCAGAACTCATATAGTTTTATTGGATGTTTAAGTAGTGGTGTCTGTGTTACAAAAATAACCAAACCCAAACCCTTGCCATGGTGTGCTAACGAAGGGAGACTGAGCAGATGGTTTTTAGGGACTGCACTTCACGTGTTACGCAACTGTGCTGTTCTTCCAGAGAAAGAGAAGTGAAGCAGAAAGAAGTCTAGCTAAACCTTTAATGCTTAAACTTTCACTAATTGTTAGCACAGAAAATGACTGAAGAAAGCTCCAAAAATAGAAAGAGTATTCAGGTATGCAAGCTACAAAATTTATTTGCTTTTACCTCCATCCTGAACGATTATTTCAGAGCAGCAGAGTTACAAATTAAGCACACTCAACATGTTTTTATCAAGGAGGAAGGGAAAAGGAATAATAAATTGTTCTTGAATGAGGAAAAATCTTGTAACATGGCCAAGAGAACAATGCCAGACAGAGTACAGAGTTGCTTGGGTTTGAGATACTGTCCAATGAAACCTGAAGATGCAAGCTTACACTGGAGGAGTAAAAAAAAAGAAATTCAAACAGCTTATTCCAATTAAGGAGTATAACTGGAGCCTTTGTCAGCCCTAGTAAATGTTATTTAGAGAAGTGAAGTCACCTTCTCTTACACAGACTGCCTGTAGACTATACAATTCAGTGTTGTTATCACATTTCAGTAGCTGGCATATTCAAAAGATGATTATTATTAGATGATACTAACAATTTTTTAGGAAAACTGTAAAAACTGTGAATGTTTCTGAAAATATTTTGTGGTGTAATCTCTATACTACTTTCAAAATTCTGTAAGAGATAGAGGAAGGAAGGGTGGTTAAAATACCCACAAACATTGTGCAGTGCATGTGTTTTCCTCCTTGTAAGGAGCAAAGAATGAATAGGTGGTGACTGGACTTTTTGTCAGTCAAGCAATATTACTCTGAAAAAGGACATATTTACAGCTTTTACCTGTTAATGGATTTTCTTTCTATCATTACTATTTATGTCAAAGATTGAAGTATCGGGCTGTGATAATTGTGGAAGATGCAAAGACTAATGAGGAAATCAATGGTATTGATATGACACAGATCCCTTAGTGGTTTTTTTTTTTTTCCATAAATAGGAATGTTCTCCTTTAGAGTCTTGTTCATTTGGTCACAGTATCCCATCAACCTCCATCTAAAGTCCCCGGGGAATTCTGGATGCTTCTGAGGCCCTCTGGAAGCTATAGGCACACAGGCCTAGATCATGGCGTCACAGAAGGGTTTGAGTTGGAAGGGGCCTTAAAGGTCACCTAGTTCCAAGCCTCCTGTTTTTATCCATCCATCCATCCATCCATCCATCCATCCATCCATCCATCCATCCATCCATCCCATGTCTCTCCAATTTGGAGACAAGGATGTTGTGTGGAGCAGTCTCATATGCTTTCCATAACTTCAGGTAAATGATGTAGGTAGGTAGCAGTGGTACTTCTCATTTTCCTGGGAGGGAACTTAAAGTATGAAATATTTAATGACATGATAATCTTGCAGAAAACTGATGAAGATTGAGAATTGTAGAGCAATCTCCTGAAGTCAAACATATGATGCAATGTCTAATCAAATTACCATCATACAAATCATGGAGGAGCTGTCAGATTTGTATCATTTGGGCATATAATGGTTGTCAAATTCCTCCTGTGGAGTTAATAAATCAAACCCAGCATGATTGGTGCTGTTTTTCTTCTCTGTTCCACTATCCTATAAATAGCTCCCTGTTGCATGAGAGCAGTGGCAACTTTCCCAGCAGGAATACGATAACAAAGATGTCTATCTTCCACACCTCTCTTTGTGCCTTTTTCAGTACCACTTAGTGGTGTGGAGAATATGCTATTTGTATTATGAATTCACCTTTTTTATTTACTGTGTATATTTGTGTATATATATTTTCTCTTTGCCTGAATTACAGTAAAGGTGAAGAGAGTGAAATCAGGGTGCTGTTTGGATATTGTGCTGCACTTTTTATACATAATCATAAATAAAAATAATCTTCTGTTTTGACAGTGCTACATTTTGAAAAAGTTAAGTCAAAGTTTGCTTTCTCACGTGCATTTCTTTCTCAGTCCAGCTGCACAGTGTTCATTTTGTACTAGACTGAAGAAACAGCACATAATAGAATTTCTTAACCTTCATTTTTCTGTTATAATTTCTTGTCTTATAATCTCTTGTCCCTGTGTAAGAAAACACCCCCCAATCCAAAACTACTTAAAAGAACAAGGAAAACTGCTATTTAAACCTGCAGTGTTCCAGCTTGTGCTGCTGTCTCAGCTAGTCTGACATCACCTACCAAAGGAAAAACATACTGTACAGTTGTAATAGGATTAAACAGTATAAACCTGCAAGCAGAAATGTGATTAATACAAGATATTTCTGAGTCCTGCAGTGACTATATTGCTACACTGAGAAAACCAGAATGTTTATTAGAAGCGTTTTCAATATGTATATATTTTTCTGAAGTTATTTATAATTGTTGCCTTTCTCTCAGGTCTGCAGGAGATAATTTTTAAATTAACTGTGCAGTGTAATCAATATCAGTAGACTATACAATCCTGAGGTGTCAAGAATTATGATAAGCTTCATACTAAGTTCTGGAGAGACTTGTAACTGTGTAGTTTGCACTGCCCCATTTTTATTAGCATTTTCATTATAAAGTTGTTACTGGAAGCATAAAGTTAATGTTCTGTAACAAGAAAACAGCAATTATGCAGTCCTAAACAAGAGCTCAACATTAAACATGGCAGATAAAAATAACAAGCAGATACAGTTACTGCAGACAGATAATGTGGGTAAAAAATAATGTAGCATTTACAGGAAGGCAACGGCAACTTTTCTCCCATAAGCATAAGGCTGGTTGCCAAACAACCCCCTGTAATTTCTGAGCATTTATCTTTGCATTTTCAAGTAGAACTTACAAAAGTGCAGAGCATAAGCTCAAATTGTTTTCCCTTTGAAATCAATGAGAAAATAAAAATGTGATAAAAATATATGTGCTAATTAACTTTTAAAAAAATCTCTTAAACCTGTGTAGCTTTTGAGAATGCTCTCTTCTGTGTCCTCCCCCAGAATCTATATTAAATGGACACTGTTGATTACCTCCACAGCTGTAAATATGGCTCAAGTTTTTCCTTAGTGGAAAAACAGTTTACAAAACCCAGGAAGAACTGTTTAATTACTTTACAAAGTTTAGTCTTTGCTCTCACTAAACAATGGTCCCTTTTCTTTTAAAAATAATGCAACACGTCCATGGATCCGGATGGGATCCACCCCAGGGTAGTGACGGAATAGAGGAAGAGCTTGCCCTGCCGCTCTCCGTCATTTATCAGCAGTTCTGGCTAACTGGGGAAGTCCCAGAGTTGAGGGCTGGCAAATGCAACTTGAGGTTGGCAAATGCAACGAGCACCTACGTGAAGGTCAGGAAGGAGGATGTGGGGAACTACAGCCTGACCACGGTGCCAGGGGAACTCGTGGTGCAAATCACTTGAGTGTCACCACATACAGAGCAACCAGGGAATCAGGCCCAGCCAGCATGGGCTCATGAAAGGCAGGTCCTGCTTGATGAACCTGACCTTCTATGACCAGGTGACAATGTAGTGGGTGGAAGAAAGGCTGTGGATGTTGTCTACCTGGACTTCAGCAAAGCCTTTGACACCTCTTCCCATAGAATTCTCCTAGAGAAACTGGCTTCCCATAGCTTGGGGAGAACACTAGAGGTACACTCTTTGCTGGGTTAAAAACTGGCTGAATGGCTGAGCCCAGAGAGTGATGGTGAATGGTGACACATGCAGTTGGTGACCAGTCACTGGTGATGTTTCCCAGGGCTCAGTACTCAGCCCAGCCCTGATTAAGATCTTTACTGGTGACCTGGATGAGGGGATCGAGTGTACCTTCATTAAGTTTGCAGATGACACCAAACTGAGAGTGAGTGTTGGTCTGCTGGATGGTAGGAAGGTTCTGCAGAGGTTCTGATCTTAGACAGGCTGGATCGACAGACCCAGACCAGCTGTATGCGGGTCAATAAGGCCAAGTGATGGGTCCTGCCCTCCTGTCCCATCAAGGCCCTGCAGTGCTCCAGGCTGAGGGCAGAGTGACTGGAAAGGCCCTGGGGTGCTGGCCAACAGCAGCTGAACATGAGCCAGTGTGTGCCCAGCTGGGCAAGAAGGCAAATGGCCTCCTGGCCTTCTGTGTCAGCTCTAATGTGACCAGCAGGACAGGACCAGGGCAGTGCCCGTCCCCTTGTACTGGTTCTAGTGAGGACACACCTCAAGTGCTGTGTCCAGTTCTGGGTCCTTCACTATAAGAAAGAGATTGAGGTGCAGGAAGATTCCCAGATAAGAGCAGTGGATCTGGGGAAGGGTCTGGAGCACAAGTCAGACGAGGAGCAGCAGAGAGAGCTGGGGGTGCTCAGCCTGGAGAAAAGGAGGCTTGGGGGCACTTACCTGCTCTCTACAGCTACCTGAAAGGAGGGTGTATCCAGATGGGAGTTGGCCTCTTCTCCCAAGTAACAAGTGACAGGAGGTAAAGGCCTCAGGTTGAAGCAGGGAAAGTTTAAGTTAGATTTTATTGGATATTCACAAAAAGAGTTGTCAGGCATTGGAACAAGCTGCCCAGGGAATTGTTTGCAAGAAAGTACAGGAAACTCAAATGCAGTAGGGTGTATGTGTATTGTGTAATTAATAAAAAACCCAGACAGATGTTTTGGTCTTTTTTCCATTCTACAGTAAGTTCACACAAAGTTGAAGATCTTTTCTTTCACATTGTTTCTTACAGCATTTAGCTTACGAGTTCTGCTCTCCTGTTAGAATGCTTTATGCACACCACTTGATAAAATGCTAAAGGATTTTTGTCTTAAAATGTTTTTATTATAATAAAAATCAGTCAGGTTGGAAATTCAAGCACTGGAAGGTCATTAAGTGTCTAAATAAAGACTGTCTGCAGATGTCTGCTTTTATCCTTTGTTGGTATTTTTTGCTGCAGATCCTGAGGTCACAGTCACATAATTTACTGCTTTCTCTCACTGGACAACTGCCTCATTTAGCCAATTATTGTGTCTTCCCTCTACAGAGCTTTGCCTCGTTTTGTTTTGGGTGCTTATGGGACATTCATTGATTTTCTGTTTCAACAGAAATTACTTTATTTTCCCAAAATGCTCATGGGGAAAAAAAAGGAAAGTGGTGCACAGAAGTTTAGAGTTAAGTTTCCTTAACTGGGTATTTTCAATGCAAGACATCTAGGATAAGGGAATTTAAAAGTAATTATCACATTTAAGCACAGATGCTAAAATTTTCAGCTATAGAAATCCATAATGGTTTTCAAAGCACATTGCAAATGCCACAGTGAGGAAGCAGGAAAGGAGGAAGATGCAATTAATGAACATTGTTTTTATATCAGAAATTAACTCTGCAAGAAAAATCTGTTCCTAATTTCCCTTCATAAAACCTCATGTTTACTTCTCAACATTTTCCAGCTTCTGTAACAAACGAGGCAGTCTTGTGTTACAGATGAGCCCCTGTGCTGTGTAGCCCTCATTCATATCTAGGTCAGGTACGTCAGCAACACTGAATGAGTCAGAGATTCTGAACAAATGCAGTGTATGACTGTGGGATGTAAAAGATTCCCAGAAATAGCTTATGTAAATGGAAATGAAAGCTGTACAATGCAGTACTAATTCTAACCTTTGATTGATTTTACCACCTTAATTCCATGGGGCTGCTCTTATGGAACAGCCAAGCAAGCTGCACTCTCATTTCACACTTGGGAATGCACATCCTCAGTGAAGTGCTTTTCTTACTTGTGAATAAAGCCAAATCATGTTAACTGGAAAGAGGAGAAGTCAGCTTCTGCTGTGCCCTCAGTAAGGGCATCCACACTCCATTCATGGATTCCAGCTCCAGACGCAGGCTGAAGACCTGTGCAATACTGGACTTGCTCTATATTTGGACTTTGCACTCTCTAGCACTTGGTAGAGATTAATTATTATCATCATCATCATCATTATTATCATTATTATTCTACAAGAGTTAGTTCAGGAGAAGTCAACTCATAGCAGCCAGGCGTCAACTCATAGCAGCCAGGCATGCAGGCTGTGAGAAGGAGCTACTCAGTGGGCTGAAGAGGAGCAGGAGCTGTATTTGAAGAACACTTGTGTGTGCAGAAGCTCATCTGCAACTGGCTGGAGAGACATCAGGGGTGAGAGAGAAAGTGCAGAAAGATCTGGAAAGTGCTCTGGAGAAAAATAGGAAAGATATTCCTAAATGAAAGAATGAAAACTGGGACTGGGACCTGAAAAACAACAGGTCAGACAAGGCGTTGTGCAGGAGGGACAGGGAAAGCATGGGTAGTGTGGGCCTTGAGTTTTGTCAGTAGGGAAACTGACAGAATGAGATGAACAGACTGGGATCAGGCTCTCCCTTGAGATGGCACTTTGAAGAACTTGAGGTTATTTTTGTTTAAGCTGTGAAACTGTTGATTGAGAGCTGCAAAAACTTTGCTTCATGAGGTTCTGTGACCGGGCCAGGCACCCCAACAGTGATAGCTTTTCTTTCTTTTCTGACATCCTACAGACAGACAGACCCTCCGAGCATTTGCTGACTGGGACAGACAGCAAAGCTCAGCAATTCCAACTCTGGTTTGTTGTCTTAGGTAAAGAACAAGCCTTAATTAATGTAGCCTTTCAAAAAGGCTTATGATTGTGCAAAGCAGAACTGTATAATGCAATATATGAATGTAAAAAGTAAACCACATGGCATGTGGATGCTCAGCCAGTGGTTCTATGGGAAGACAAGTGCTTTTCTTGGCAGGACAATCCACCCCACTTGCTGTAGTGAGGCTCAGTGACTCAAGGACCAGAGAATGTTCTTTCTATGCCAAGGTAAGGATGAATATTATTCATGTCCAAAAAAGAGCACAGTCCCTTCCTTTCATGGGCAGTGTGTGCCTGAGCACAAGTGTGCTTTCATCTTTATTGCTCCTAGAAGTATGAAATGTTCTCCAGAAGATATGTGTGGTGTGTGGGAAGAGGGGGCAGAAATAGGCATAAGGAGTCTAGAAGGAGAAGAGGGCAGGTTAAGGCAGCAGGCTAAAGCCAGGTTCCCAGTGTTGCTTCCATGAGATCAGAACAGCCAGTGATGACTCTGCTGTAATATTGCTCTGTTATTTCCATCTGGTCAGTGGAGACAAAAATTTTGCAGTGAAACAACCCCAGCCTTTGGAATGGTCTGGTCTTTCCCTGCTCTCTTCTACTTGGGTCTCTAACATAAATTCTAAAGAACATGTTTTCATAAGAGTTGTCTCATCTAGTTCATTCTGTGTAAAAGGAGCATTGATGGAATGAACACTGGAAATGTACAGCTGCCCAGTCTGTCTGTGTGGGGGCTAAGGGCCAGCCTAGCCCTCACCAATGCTACCTGCACCTGTAGGGACTGATGGAGCCAAGCTCCGTGTAAGGCTGGTAGAAGTTGTGACAGCAGGGAGGAGAGGTGACTTTTACACACAAATGACCCTGCTTCCTCACATTTGTCTTTACATGCCCATAAGCACTAAGGGTGTTCAGACAGTCCTGCCAGTTACCTGTGGTGACACAGAGGACAAGGGACACACACCCTGAGTCCCCATGATCTCAGCTCTTACCTCAGAGAGTAGGTTTAAATTAGGAAGAAATCCTTTACTGTGTGGGTGGCAAGACTGCAGATTCTCGAGACAGTCTCAAGACTTCACAGGGAAGCTGTGAATGTCCCATTCCTGGAAGTGTTCACGGCCAGGTGGGATGGGGCTCCCAACAACCTGGTTTAGTGGAAGGTCTCCCTGCCCATGGCGAAGGGGTTGGAACAAGATGGTCTTTAAGGTCCCTTCCACCCAGCCCATTCTATGACTATCTCCTATGTATGTTCTAAACCACCAGGCTCATTAAAACACGTTTTACGCACAGGTGGTGAATTAAAACACCTTTGGCAGCCCGAGGCTGTGTCAGCCTGAGTTGCGCAGCCCCGGGGTCCTGGGGCGTGTGCTCAGAGTGGCACGGTGAGATGACGGGGTGTCGCGGCTGTCCTGGCTGTCTCCTGTCAGGGAACTCTCTCACCCTCCTCCCGCCG